TTCAACAGTGGGAGGGCTTCTAATGTCCTGGCCCCACTGGTGAACCTCCTGATGGCACTGGTATTTCTGGCCACTGTGTGACACAGAGTGTTTGCCTGGATGGGCCTTTGGCCTGATCCAACATTGGTGTCTCTTATGTTCTTAAGTGTGACCCATATCTGGCAGCAAAAGGCAAAAGATTTTAACACAGAAAGTAGACAGGAAATTTCTTTTGGATGCAACCTTAAGCTTACACTGGGGAGTAGAAGATTGTAAGATGGTTTGAAATACCTAAATAAGAGACATATAAAATCCTGTTAATTTTGGCAATGCACGTTATAGAAATAGGCCAAGAGGGGAAGGAATAATAGAGGCCTCTCCCTCACCTCTCTTGCTTACACCAGAAAGTTGTCATTAGTTTAAATTATGCAATTTATTAATTGAAACAGAATAGGATTTTCAGTGCCTGGTACCTAAACGCTCATGCTGAGCAGAGATCTTCCTCTGGAAGTAGGAAGGGGAGCCTACAGGATATTGCACATTTTCTATTAGAAATCACAGCCAACTTTGCAAAACCTTGACTTCAAATGAAAGGGTGCGCTTGACACCTGAATGGTTTAGCTCCATTAGCTGAAGAATACTTCAACTGAAAGGCTTCAGAAGCACCAGAGCTTTGACTAGATGGTACTTTGCCTGAACTGGTCTGCCCATCCCTAGTCATAATACTGTATTTGATGTTATAGCAGTTACCATAACAACAGACTTTGTGGCACAAATCTCTCCCCCAGGGCATGTAAAACCCTGCTAACTGTGGTGATGCACATTCTACAAATGCATAAGGCCAAAGGGGGGGGGGGAATAATAGAAGCTGCTTCTTCACCCCTCTGTTTTTAGACCGATTTAGAAATTTGGCGCCAGTTTTCCACCTCAGAGATTCTTGCCAGAAGTGTTTGAAGTGCTGTTTCTATCTTCGTATCTTCTAGAAAGTTCCTTGTTTACTGCTCTACACACTTTTGAGACAGCTCTATGGGTGGGATTTCCATTCATGTTAATCCAAATGAGAATTAAGAGAACCATCTACCAAGCGTAGAAGAAACCCGTGGGTGAAGCTCCAGTTCCCTCCCTCAGTGGAGAGCAGTGAAGCACTTCAAGAAACCTGGTTTTTCAGTTAGCTTCTGCCTCTAAATTTGCCTTGCCTGCAGCCATTCTCCTTCATTACTCTTAAAAACTGAGGTCCCTGGGTAGGGTTGTCAGGTCCCCCCAGACCACCGGCAGGGGATGGATGGGGGTAGAGTTGCCAGATCCAGGTTGGGAGACAC